CCGTTATGGCCACGCACTGCTAGCTGCCGTAGAAAAAGCAAACGAGTCGGTTGCGCGGCTTCTCCTCCAATATGGGGCAGACGTGAATACTCAGGGTGGCCGCCATGGCAATGCGCTTCAAGTGGCCGCGGCATGGGGAAATGTACCGGTGGCGCAGCTTCTCCTCGAGCGTGGGGCAGATGTGAATGCTCAGGGTGGCAGGTATGGCAATGCACTACAAGCAGCTATAGAAAAAGGAAACGAATCGGTTGTGCCGCTTCTCCTCGATCATGGGGCAAATTTGAATGTTCAGAATGGCTCTTATGGCAATGCACTACACGGAGCTGCAACAAATGGACACGAATCGGTTGTCCGGCTTCTCCTCGATCGCGGGGCAGAGGTGAATACTCAGGGTGGCCATTATGGCAATGCACTTCAAGCAGCAGCAGTGGAAGGAAACGAATCGGTTGTGCGGCTTCTCCTCGATCGCGGGGCAGAGGTAAATGCTCAGGGTGGCCGTTATGGCAATGCACTACAGGCAGCGAAAGCATTAGGTCATGAATCGATTGTGCAGTTTCTCATCACACGCGGGGCGGCTTCCGGTGCAGCGACTTCGGCAGATAATAAAAGTAGCACAACCGACTAGGACACTTTTGGTTGTTGAACCGATGGAATATCCAATTTCTAAAGCCGCCACCGATTCTCCAAGTTGCCCCTTTCCTATCCCATATTCGCCCACTCCTCCCCTTGCGCGGTTCTCACTCCACGGCTACCAGAAGGCTCAACTCCTGCCCCCGCGTGCCGCGTTCCCGGCAGTCTGCCGCCCTACCACGGTAGTATATTGTGCACCCCAAGCAAACAAATAATGATTTCCTTGATCCCATCTATCCTTCTGCTACTGAATACCCTGGAAGACTTCCGCCACTATTTTCAAAATTTTGAATTACCTCCTGTCGAGTTCATTCCAATATACACACAAATACACCCCGACATGTGACACGTACTGCGCATCGGAACTCCCCAACCCACTATTACTCAATCTTCTTCATCCCGCACCCAGCCCGATCCCCAAACAAATTCTCTTGTTCCACATTACTAAGGTCATCGGCGCACCCTCTGTTTCCTACATTAAAATCTTGCACTGGTTGACTCTTGTTTAACCTAATCTCATTCTTGTTATTATTATTACCTGCTTCTGATACAAATTGTTGGAAATCACGAGGTGCTGCTTGGCATGTTCCCATGATGGATTGTTTGTTTATTCGCATAGTCTCCGGAAGCGCGTATTGGGTTTCAGGCGCGCTATGGCTTCGGGCGCACTTTGGCTTCCACCGGCGCAGTGTAGCTGTTCGGGAATGCACTTCCATTACGCAAATGTGCGGGAGTCTTGGAGCAGTGCACCTGCCGGCCGGAAAGCGGAAAAGCTGGAAGGGAAACGGCCATAAGTCGGGCTGGAGGCTACGGGTAGCCAAAGTTTGTCTTTTCTTTGTTCGCTTTTCTTGTTTGTCAGTCTGTGGGAGGCGTACCTAGAAGGATAGGAGTGTTAGGACTTTGTCATTTTTGTCGTTGATATATACTCCTGTCTTTACCGTTAGTTATAGAGAACGCGCGAGAGTGTCAGCCTGCGGTTGACAGAGTGAAGATCCCCCCCCCCCTATGAGTTGTACGATCCTTTCACGTGAGTGATCTCGGCGTTTCGTTCCACATCCTCTCACCCATTCGTCCAGTTTCCTTGCGCCGTTGCTTCGTACCGCGTTGCCTTTTGCTACTCGTTCGCCGTTCGTTCGTTCGTTTTCAATATCGCGATAGCCTCCGCCGATCCCGACGTCTAAAAAAATTAGTTATATCTCCAATTTTATACTATGGGGCTTAGGAATACATCCACACTCACCCCCACCCTCCGAATCTGTCAAGGGACTCCGATAGTAGGAGAAAGTTGATGATAATTGCGCCAGAGGGGGAGGGAAGGGATGAAAGGAATTTGGAAAAGGAGAGAAGTGTCACGCTGACCTGCGAATTTATTCTTTAACTAGTTGGTTCTCGTCTTGGGCTTTGGAGTCGCCTTCCTATTTTTCTATATTTCCTCACCCACCCCTTTCCTCCTTCTTTTCCAAGCAGAGTGAGGCCTTGTTTACAGGTTCGTGAAGCGCTGTTGTTAAGGAATTAGAGTGTCCTTCCCTCTTGGGGGGATGGATCCCGAATGGTCTTGTTTTCGCTGTTCTTCATTACAATTTTTTTTTTTCAAAGCTATCACCATATAGACATGCAAACAACATGTTGGTCATTAGCGCCACCCACAGGAGTATAATAGTATATAGAATTTTCCCTTGTGCCAAAAGGCTCTCTCCAATTCGAATTTGACAACGGGTGTCAATTGCTTCCGTGAGGGTCTTGTAGTTCGTTAAAGAGCGTTGAAAATGAGCAGAGCTCACCCGACCCGTGGCGGGCAAAAGCCCAACCCCGCTAGACCCGGCCCAAAGCCCTGGAGCATCGTTTGCCCCCGGGTCTATATGTAGAAGGGACTGAAGGAGATATTGGGGTTAAAGCGAGTTGGTTGAGAGAAGGCACGTTATTTTTTCCCGCGGAAAATACGAGAGCCACAAGAGTTAGCACTCAATCGGCGACTCGGGAATTACTGGGAGAGGTTTAATTCCGTTCTTACCCCATAAAAACCCGATCCGTAGTACTCTCTCCCATAACCTCCCCCACGAGTTGCCGGGGTTAAGCCAGGCTTTGGATTTGAGTATAAAGCCTGCTTCATCTATAATATCCCGATTCTAGTCACTGCTCCTCATTAATAGAGAATACCCGTGTTGGGCGAGCGGCAGGGTTCTTTCACCAGCATTACCGTGAAAACCGGAATAATTGGGAATCGCACTACCATAAAAACTCGAATAATTGGACCGTGTGCTATGTCGTTGGACTTTTCTCTCCAAGTAAGGTCAACACGCTTTTGTTTTTTCTTCTTTCTCAAGAGGGGGAAAGGGGCTTTGTTTTTGATGTGTTTTTTTGCCCCCTCCCCAGAAAAGGGAATTGAGGACTTCATAGCACACGGTCAAATTATCCGAGTTTTTACGATAGGACGGCGGAGATGCCTCCCCTAGTCAGGCGCGCGCCGCCCCACTAGGGATCGAACAAGCAGTGGCCAGGCTGAGAGAAAGCGGGATTTCTGGAACACCGGGTGGAGGAGGGTCCATTATGGACCAATTATCGGATATACAACTTTACAAAAGCCGGAAGTGACTGATGGTAGTCCTAGGCAGTTGGTGACCTCTGATAACCTCGCGCGAAATCAATCGATGAGCGACTCTACAAAATAGCCATCTGCACCGCCACATTCTATCCACCACTAACCTATGATATCTTGCTTGGGTTGGACAGGCGCTGGGGGTATCAAACTGCAGCCATCCAAACTACCCCTACAAACCCCCCGAAACCCGATGCTTTGTTCCCCGGAAACTATTGCTGTTGCCATGACAGCTGTTCTGCAGGCCGAAGTGAATATAAAGGCCCATTTTCTAGTGGACGAGCAATGTGGGGGGTGCAAATTAGGACAGTTTCTGGGAGAGGGCGCAATTAAGCTTCTGCACTCCAAGAGGGATCATGTAACATCACTCGCTGTGAATATTTTTTTCTAACGTTTAGTATGGTACCTAAATCTAATATAAAACCCCGTTCTCCAAGTCCACGTAATCTCGATTTTGTCCCTCGGTCTATCCCGACAATTTCCCTTATCAGACCAACCAACGGCGGGCGTGGATTTCTCATCTGATACCGTAAAAAGAGAAATAATTGACAACAGCGCTTAGAATCAAGAATTTCACCCCTGAGATTTAGGGGGGGAAATATACGGAGGTACAGCTCCTAAGTTTTGTATGTTCTACAAGCAGGGGTGCTGGGCTAGCGAGGGTATAGGCGGCGAATGGGGCAATTTCCAGTGAATGTTTCCTAATCCGTGCTGAAATTTTCCTAATTCGCGTTAGGCACCCCCGCCAGTCGAACACCCCTTGCTCGTGGAACATACAAAACTTAAGAGCTGTACCTCCGTAGTGGACTTGGCTCCCCGGGGCCCTCAGTTGAGACAGACCCTCCGAGGGGGGGCAAAACCAAGGCCCTAGCGCTGTCCTCAATTCTTTCGGTTTTTACAGATACTCGGGATCTTCACTCACCAGCTCCATCTGTCCAGTGAACCGTGCGTGCCGTTCCCGATTCCGAGATTTATGGGTCCGACTCGCGGGTTTCCAACAAACTCCCCTTACCACGCAGAGTTGATATAGTAGATGACTAACTTACCGTAGCTAAACCTCCCCATCATTGGTGCCCTCAAAACAACAGCTAAGCGGAGTGAGTTAATCGCTGCCAAAGTGCCTGTGAGCGCTAATCATACGAGTCTTAATCGCCAATTAATGCTGTTTCCCATACCGGTGCCAAACAATTAAAGATAAACAAAACTTGCCTACAATGGTCTCGTTCGACAGTCGATCCCGGTTCCGATGTCACCGCACGACACCCAGGGGTCAAGGATGGAGGGACGTTTAGCAAACTCGGGCTAGACGGATGGCAGCCAAAACTTATAACAAGGTCCAAAGTGTCTTTCCTGTTGGCCGCTGTCCCTATGAGGAATTATTTCTGTGATCACAAGTAGCCCAGAATACCGCTTTTATGGCAACGACACTCTCGGAGAGCAGGAGTTCTAATTTTCGCCACAAACTCAGCTTTCCCCCTCAACAGTAATCAATATTCCATGGAGAGGTGAGACGGGAGGTTAGTAGGAAGGGAGGAGGCCTAACACAGAAGAAGTTGGAGGGAGCTCCAAGAGAATTCCCACTACTACAGGGGTTTTGGGGTAGGTGAGCTTAGGATTTTAGGACTTCCTGATATTGATGTAGTAGGAAGTCTGGGGTTTACACGTTCTGCAGGATACTCTGATGATTATAGTTGAGGATGTCTTTCGACAATTACTACGGTTCCAGATAACGAAAGTTTCTGACCCTTACTTTTGGCTCCGCTTGCTGGGGCAGCCTCGACACCCCCTCGTTTACAGGGCTGAGTGTTCTAGAAAGCTCATTCCCCGTGACCCAATGCCTACGGCAAATATTTCCCACTTGATTTTTTACTAAGAACGGAGTCTTTTTCTGGGATCATTGCTAAGCCAGAAAGGTGGCCTAATATCTTGATCTAAAGACTTTGTGAGAGGTTCTAAAATTTTGCGGCCGCAGTGGCCTTCATCTATCACTCACTACTAGTCTCTCCAAAGCTGAATATACGATAGTGGGTCCACAACCAACCTTTCCCCATAGTACGAGTACTGTATTCCAGAAATCTAGCCTTCCTTGCTTACCTTCTTAACCACCGCCTGTTAAATTACAAGCCGGGTAGGTAACACTAGGATAAATACATCAGCTGAAACTGGTCCCCAATCCACCCAATACATAAACTCCAACAAGGAGCTTCTCCTATAATACCCGTAGCGTTCGAAATTATGAAGTGCGCCCCTTCATCCTGGGATCCATGGTCCCCTTCCGGATCTTCAGCCCACAAAATCTCGACATGAGTATACCCCAAACTCCGATTGCACGTGAGGCGCCCTGATTGAATTGGA